ACATGTTTATATAAACTGTAGCAGTTAAGATCATTTCATCTGGAACTTTGAACACACAGACATAGATCTGCATGTCTTTTAATTTTTTGTGTTTGGGATTTCATTAGGTTTTAGTCCAGTCCAGAACCGTGCACTTTTGTTATTTGGATATTTGATTTCAACTCAACAATTTTTAATTTTTAATTCTAAAAAGCCTCTGATACTGAAAATATATTGTATTTTAAAACATATGCTTTTAATGGAGATATTATTATACATATTATATGTTTGGGTTGTTAACCTACTGTATGTTTTGGGCAGACGACAATGTTGTCACAAATAATCATTAATAAAAACAACTATTCAATGTGTGGGGTTGATGTTTTTATGTATGAAATAAATTAATATAAAAAAACCTAGAGGATGTACGCTCACGGTGGTCAGCTTTGGAGTGCAGATGTAAATATAGTGCCATAGTGTGTCATTCCTGTCTTAGCAGAGATGATCTTCTTGTGTGCGTACAGCAAACATCATTACAACAACCAAAATAAAGCAGTGATCTAGTAAATAATACCAGGATGTAATGCCATGATTATGGCATTACATCCATGTTTCATGGGTATTACACAGATGAGGTCTCCAATTAGCTGCTGACATTGAATGGGAAGATTTGGTGAACAAATATTAATTAGATGGATTGTTTTAATGAGCATGCGAGGAAATAAGTGTTGTAAATAAACTTCCACCTCTTTCAGAACCGTACATTCTCCCTCTGACATATTGTTTGTGCTGTCTGAATCTAATATCACGTCAACTATTCTCTTAATCTAATATTAAATAATCTGCAAATAAGAGGCCCGCATGAGCCGAGACCAGCAAACTTCAAAAAAGTCAATGTATGACCTAATCGTCTTCAGCTGCTGCTGCGTGTGGGATGTAAATGCCAACCTTTACAAGTCAGAGAGGAGTTTCACTATTGATGTGACAATTGGACAGGAGCGAAAACTTGAACTCTCCAGATGGGATTTTTCAGATGTGACGTGACAGAATGTGTTCTTGTTTTGGAGGCAGTGTCCACCGCTAGTAGGACGTTCATTTATTTCATTTCAGAGGTTGGGACTGTTTTCACCTATGTTGGAGTTGTGTATTGACAAATGCTGTGTATGTTGAGTTCTTCAAAGAAGCCGTGTGTTCAGATTCAGGCTAAAAAATTCAAAGATCTTAATTTATCAACTTAATGTGTTTGTTGGTTTTTTAATATTTTGGAAAATTGTTTTTTCTGAAAATTATTTTCCATTGGCAACTTTAACCTTGGTATAGTTGGTAATTGTACAGAAGATTGCTTAATAACTGTCAATATTTTAAGGAACACTAATAATAATGGGGGGGTGATGCATTGGAGGCACTCAAGTATGAAAAATGTATTAAAAGTTATTTGTATCGATAGGTAAAACATATGTTGAGCTACATGCAATAGTTTTAAAAAAACAAATCTCTTGCGACCCACCTAAGGGGTCGCGACCCAGTCATTGGGAAACAATGCCCTAGATGACTGCTGTTCTATCTGTGAATAAATAATTCATAATTGTCTCCTACATCGAATCGACAACAAATCAGATGACATCTCGAACTTCCCTCTACACTTTGTGACACAGGGTGACACTCTCTCTTTGCTTACTTTGAAGGCCATAAAAGTAGTTGAAGATCCATTATTGTCTGTACGTGGCCAAGAGACGCTGGTGCCAGGGAGGACAGAGTGATGGATGGGGGGCTGAGAGCAGTGCCAACAAATTGCTGGGTTCAAGGGGGTGAGGGCAGAGTCGTGGCACGGGGAGCGGACGTCGTGTCCTGCTCTCACACAAACCCTTTACCGTGCCGTCTGATTATTTGGCCCTTCAGTGAAGTGGGTAATTCTGCTGTGGATGTTTCTCTGTCTTATTACGGTAAATATGTACATTATTTGAACAAAGTAAAATATCTTTATTATATTTCAGGACATCACTCCTGCCGTCAACTCAACTCCACCCATTCTGTTTTTGATAGATTCTAAAGGCAGAGGCATCAGGATGGCTTTGTGTCATTTCACTGCAAACACCTCATTTTCTCACCACTCAGACAGATTACATTTGGCATTTTAAGTTACTCCATTAGAAACAGCTGTCACATTATCATTCTGAAATGCTATTAAACCCGAGAAAGTCTTTAAACACACCATGTTTTCTCTTCGACTGCCTAATGGTTTGTCTTAACATTATCTGTGACGAGTTTACAAAGTAAGATACTGTGATGAATATCAAATACCCCGGCCAGTGCAGCAACCACCATTTTTTTAGCATTCACCTCACGTTCCCAAATAATTTGATTACTGTTGTCATCAGACAGCTTGATAAACAATGCTTAGTCATGACCACAGACAGACAAATGGTCATCATCATTTTGTTGCTTTTTTTAAATGAATCAGCATTTAGTTCTTTACTTCTCCTTTCCTAAACACCTGTATCTGACCTCTGTATTCACTTTCGTCTCCTCTCAATGCGGATCACAACTACTGCCCAGGATTTTGATGACTCGGCTGTAGGACTTCCTGTCTCTTCTTCCTTGGAACCTTTGACTCTTGTATTGAACACAAGGTTGTCAATAGTGAAGCTCCAGCATGTTCCCACTGTTCTATTCACCATTGTGATTTCTGATTTTATACATTTCAGAATTCAACTGTCTCCAGAAAACTGGAATATTGGATCATTAGTGAAAAATGTAGTTTTAAAAAAAAACAACTAAAAACAACTTAATATAAAGTAGTTCAGTAAAGACTTTAACATCTTTACTTTAACCCACATGTGTCAAATCCCCGTGAGATCATATAAAATGTGTACTAAAGTTGGACCACCATTATATAGAACCTATATACTGGGAGGATTTGTAGTGTAGTGTGTATAGCACATACATTTTGGGTTTTTGTTGTTGTTGTTGTTGGCCTGTGAAAAAAAGATTTACATTAAAAAGGAACTTGAAAGGCTGCAGATAAAGAGACAATAAGAAAAAAAATATTTCAATTCTTACGCAAAATGCAATAATTTGTTTCCAAATGAAAAATATTCTACCTTACATATCTGGAGAGAAGGGAAAACATGAACAAGTGACGTTAACTTTTCAATAAATATTGAGTTTGACCCACTGTGAATTTGAGTTGGACACCCCTGTTTTAATCTAACCTATTGTTATGACAAAATTATATTCTGTGTTATTTAGTATTTGGCTCATCTTTTATAAGAAACATCTTCTCTGATTTTAGTTGTTGTATTTTCCAGAGTAGCACTTAATGTTTCATTTTTATTTTGTCAACATTTTTTGATGTTACAGGGACATTTTCTATAGCAGAGTTAGAGTAATTATTTAATTGTTTATTTAAATTGTATACAGCCTGTATTGTGTTTTTTTGTCAACAACTGATTGTTTATCTTGTTTAAAAATACAATATTACCATATATCCCTACATATACAAAAAGCTTGAAGACATTTAATACTTAACATGCGTGCTTTATTTTGTTCTACACCTATAGAAAATAACACTCACATGAGTCTTGTTAGTAATGCGTTCAGTAAAGAGAAAACCTTTTGAGGAAAGCTGCCTAATCGATCTGCTCCAAAATCACAATTATCACATCATCACTTTCATTCAATACAAAACATCCAATACGTCATAGCGTATAGTCACAGACTCTCTGTAATGTAAATCTAATAAAGGTCGATATTTTTGTAACAATATCTCTGTTTGTGTGGCGTCATTTGACGAAGAACGTTAGAAGTATTTTTTCGGACAGTGCCCTCCTCTGTTGAAAGAATGTAACGTGTAAGATATGGCTAATTGTCCTACATGTTATTACATGAATTAGACGCATCATAGTTGTGTGAACTAATTCGGAAACAACTGGTACTCTTTTTTTACCATTTAAATTGTTGCCATCGCGAGAGTTCGTGCAAAATATTGACGCGTTTATTTGGCTTTAGATTGTGTGATGGCGAAATTATTAGTTCCATCACAAGCAATTTAGTGTAATTTCCAGTCATTCATACAAAATTAATGCAGAAACAAGTCTACGTAGTCCACGTTTTTGTATGTAATAACTAAATATTAAAACCATGTTTACAGTTAACTTTAAATCAAATAAGGACAACAAGAAAAAGGAAAACAGAGAATAATCGTTAATAATTGCAATCATTATTATTGTGATTATTGTTATTAGTAATAGTAGTAATCTTGGTATAACATATATATAGTAATACAAATTATTGATAATATTGTTCTTAATAACGAATAATACACAATATTGAGCAGTGAAGTCCACCAACCAGTTGCTCTTTAGAGCACTGATTAGTGTTTTTGAGTTTTTACATCCAAGTTAGAACCAACACAACAGTGTTGTTCTGTGATAAATGCCCTCAATTGATTTCTGTTTCCCTAAGTCTATTATTTACCACACATAAGGAATTTTGAAAAACGTGGGCTGGATCTCTTCAGGATGCACTGATGTGTTTGTTACAGACAATTGTTGACGATACGTAAACGTCGTGACAGTGTAGTACTAACATATAAAACACTGTACGTCACGTATTTACTTTGATGTTTATGTTGATTTTGTAAATACATTATATAATTCTGTAGTAACATATGTGGAACAAAGCATTAACTCCACATTTCGCGGGTGGGTGGGGAACCTGAAATGGAATAATTTGCCCGGAGTGTACTCGTGGAGACCATGCGACCGGTTCCACTTGACAGCCCATGCTTTATAAATACATTGCATATTGTCAGTTTTTTAAGCACTTGTTTACAAAACCCCGCCACCATTAAACCGAAACTTCATTAAAATCAAAACCTCTAAAAAAAATTCCTAAGTTTTGAAACAGCGCGGCCTATTTTTTAAATGAGACCTGTCTCTTAGTGTTTTTAAAAAGTTGCACTGTATCTTTAAAAAAACCGTTGTCCCGCCTACTTTATGTGCAGTTCTGTTGTAACTTGCTAAAGGCGCGCCGTGATAGGTTAGAATTGCCTGTCCGTCAAACTTAGCTCTATGTTTCATTGGTGATAGACTAGCCTTCGTCTGTGGACTCTCGCGGTACTGCTGCTCGAAGATGGCGGCCGAACTGGTTGAAGCGATGGTAAGTAGAGCTCGGGTAGTTTTGCTTTTAGGGGAGAAGCGTATGGGTGTGTGCGGTGAAGTTCAGCTCAATCGTTCGAAAACCAAGGTCTTTCTGGGATTTTGATTTAGTCTGAGTATTTAAACACATAGAGGGCATGGTTATCAAAAAGACAGAGACTCGCCTGCGCCGCTAATGCAGCTAGCCTGCTAGGCAGTGTTGTCCTGGTGGATGCGGTGGTCTGTTAGCATCACGCCGCCACTGAAGGAAAACAGCGAAATGAATGATGATACCATAATGGCATCAGAGGCTGTACTACAGACAATATGGCACGCGTGTTTAATATTATACTGAAGAGTCGAACCTCTTTCGTTGGTCAAAATGTTGCCTTGTCTATTTGTGCACCTGTCAAAATGTCCCACTGCCATGATTGAATGCCTATAGTCGGTCTGTTCATTTGTGTTAGCCAGCGGATGGCAGTGGCCCCTTTTTAAAACTAAATAAATCTATGAAAATAAAGCAAGATTGATGTCAATGACATGATAACTTTGGTTTTGCACATCTCACTTATCGGAGGCTGAAATGGGAGCCATGTTATCGTTAAGTCTCACAACAACAACTTCAGGCTTGTCAAGTTTTCATGCTCATCGCTCATGGCGCTATTTACTACATTAAAAAATACTTTTTTGACAGATTAATAGTAATTGTCAGATACTGCGATAATTCGATCAATAGGGTTAATAATTTTACAAGAGGTCAGAGGGTTGATTGAGCTTAAGCGGATGTAAAGTACCAGGAGGTCAGGATAACAATGCAGATGTTTGCCTTCCAAACGGAATCTCCAGCCCAAAACTCCACCATTTATAAAGGGAAAAGCAGAAAGTCCTTCTTCTTTAGGTCACAATTGTCCAAATTTGCACACACACAAAATAAAATCAATAGATATGCTCAATAAATTTAGAATGGCTAAAATAACTAGGGTTGTCTAATATTGGTCGGCTGGTATTATTTGCCCAATATTAGCATAATTATGTAATATCTGTAAGAATTGCTATATTGGGTATACCGGTATCGGTTGATATTGAAATTGGATTGAGTGTTGTGTGTTAATTAAGTTCATAAAGGCATAGGTGTTGGTAATTAAAACTAACTGTTTGTTCAGTCTTGAGTTTCAGATGATTTTCAGATTCAAAATAAAATTTAAATAGTCAAATAATAAATGTTTTGTCCTATAAAATGTATAACAATATATATATATATATATAAGTCTATATGTGTTATGTATATACATAAAATTGTGTATATACATAACTTATAAGTAACAAACATTATAAACATACTTAAGAGTGTTCTGATGTTGGATAAACATAGCTTATCCAAAGTTTCTGGAATTTTCTGCTAAGAGGTGTTCTAAGTTGAGGATTCTTACGTTGACAACAGTTCTTCCCTCAGTCAGAAGTGTATTTTCGAACAGTATCAGTAATATGTGTCTTTAAATCAGCTTGGTGACTTCAGTGAATTTTATACACTGTCACATTTATCTTTTTTAAATTGTTCTTAAACTAACATCTTTAATTTGACTTTTTTCCTCTGTGCAGAACATGGTTAAAAGTTTCCGGGTCTCAGACCTGCAGACGCTGCTGGCCTCTATGGGTCGCAGCAAAAGTGGTCTGAAGCACGACCTTGTGGGGCGAGCGCTGAGGCTGGTGCAGACGGAGTACAGTCCTGAGCTTCTGAAAAATGTCAGACAGCTCTATGAATCGCGCTTTCCCAAAACATCTGGCTGGCTCGCAGCACGGCGCCCAGAGGGCATCCCAGTTGCCTACCCATCTCTCCGCTCCTCCCCCACTGCCACCTCTCAGGGCACTGACTACCTCAATGGCATTTCCAAACCCATCACAGCACCTGCAGCTGAGGTCAAACTAGTGCCGCTGCCCTTCTACCAAACCCTCGAGACACTGCTGGCACCAACAGAGCTGGGTAGGTTTTCTTTCGTCTTAATTCTTGTTCAGTAAAGCTCGGCACACACCACCCAACCTTTAGTTGAACTGCAACCACTGTGTTTTACAGTGTATTTTTACTGTCACATTTTCATTGTTGGAAACAAATTGCCTGATTGTTGCACAAAAAATCAAGCATATTTTACTCACAGCGACAGAGGTCTTTGGTCTGTCTGAATCTGTTTCCTTCAAACACTTAAAAGATTTATTTGCCAAGCAGACATGCCTAGTTAAACCAGCTAATGCAGACTTGTGCAGATGTTTTTTCCACTGCAAATTATTCATAAAAGCTGGCAAAATTGTGTAGTTTGTCCCCCTTAATCTTAATAATTGTGTTCTTTCCTGAGGTAGACTACTGTGTTTTGATATAGTTTGTATGCACTTGTTTACAGTTGCCCAGAACAATGAGAAACTGCAGGACAGTCAATGCGTATTTGAGTTAACACCAAATCAAGCAGACCAGATAAGAAATGCAAGGTAAGGAAGGTCTTTAAATGTCTAATTACTTTTATGTTAACATCAGCTTAAGGTTTAAAATGTCTTGTTTAATTTGTCACTTCTGCTTTTTTAGCGAGCTTCGTCCCGGAATCAGATCAATTCAAGTTGTACTTAGGTAAGTCCCCAGTGATTCCCATTAACATTTTGGATCACATTTTAAAACTCTGCTAGCTTAATGTTGGCTTTTTGCTAATTTAGAAATACTATATTATTTTAATTGGTTAAAAAATATGTAAAGAACTTTTATCTTTCATGCAGTTTACTAATGAAAGACTTGTGTCTTTTTTGCCTGGTACAGAATCTGTTACACTGACTCCATTGGTGTCCAAGAGGACCAGTACCCTCCTAATATTGCTGTCAAAGTCAACCAGTCCTACTGTCACGTACCGGTGAGTGAATGTACTGGGTTGTTAAAGCCAAAACTTCAAAGCATAAATTGAGGCAGGCCAGACATCTTGACTGTTTTTTCTTGTTTGTTGTTTGAGTGTTTGTTAACCAACTCAGCTTAAGCAGTTATTATTTTGTTTGAAATAGGAATTTAGAATGACTGATTTCTAAAACTTAAAATAATTTTTGTACATTAGTATTTATTGGTTTATGTTCAGCAAGCATAGTCACATTTTGCAATATTCAACTTGCAATAATACTTTTGCCTGTGACTCTGTACTGCCTGTGTACATACTTCCTGTCTGGTGAACAAGATTTTCTGTAAACATTTTCCATTTTCCCTAGCAATTCTTCAGAAAACCATTCTCAGTATTTAAAAAGAAGTTGTTGCCTCAACAAAGGCTACATAAAATACAAGGCCCTGTTGACAACACCCAATAATGCTGCCAGGTTCTCTGGGGCTGACTTCACTACTATTTTTATGGATTCATGTTTTGAATAATCACTTTAAAGCCAATTCATAAACTTTGTTGTTGCCCTCATAATGCAAATCAGGTTATCAGTTTCTTTTGAAAGACAATATTTGCAATTTATTAATAATAGTTTTAAGACCAAAACCTGATGTCTATCTAGTATTCATTTCCAAACTTTCATGTATTACCTTTAGAGAAATGTTTACATTGAATTACAGGATTATACTGTGTCAGCTCTCAGGCCATTTGTTCTGCGAGATAATAACTTTCTGTTGGGTTAACAGGGCTATTACCCATCCAATAAGCCTGGTGTTGAACCACGTCGTCCTTGCCGACCTGTAAACATCACTCCCTGGTTGCATCTCTCCAGTGTCACCAACAGAGTCACCATCACCTGGGGCAACTTTGGCAAGGTCAGTCTTATGCCACGTCATTCTTTAAAACAGTGTAAAAGGGAGCACAAAATTATTTTGGCTGATGGACAAACTAAGTATTGAGAGTTATCTTTTATTGTCTGGTAACATTTTGCGTGATAAGAGTACTGTTATCTTTCCTTGAAGTATCAATACGTGATCTGACTAATCTGATCTGATATATCACCCAGAAAATGACAGTGATCATGACAAGTTTACTCACTGTACGTGAACTCTTCTCTTTTCAGCGGTATTCAGTGGCAGTGTATTTGGTGAGGGTCTTCACTGCAGCAGACCTGTTCAGCCAACTGAAACTCTGCTCCGTAGAAAGTGCAGAACGCTGTCGTGAACGCAGTAAGTTGTTTGTTTTTTCTCTTTTCTAATTTGCAAATCTCACTGACTGTAATTCATTTTAGAGTTTTCTTTTAAACGTTGTAACTAGCACAACTGGATTATGTATTTCATATGTCATTACGAGACGTTTCTGCCATTCTCCCACAGTCCAAGACAAACTTCGCTTTGACCCAGAGAGTGAAATTGCAACTACTGGTCTTCGAGTGTCCCTCATCTGTCCAGTGAGTATACTTCTAGAAAACATCTGACAAAGGTTGCTAAAACATTTGTCACTTTTTGGATTTCATTGACTCTAACCAACTGTTCCAATTCTTTATTTTCCACCAGTTGGTGAAGATGCGTCTTGGTGTACCGTGTCGAGTCCTAACTTGTGCCCACCTTCAGTGTTTCGATGCCGTCTTCTTCCTGCAGATGAACGAGAAGAAGCCGACGTGGACCTGCCCCGTCTGTGACAAGCCTGCGCCTTTTAAGTTGCTTACAATTGATGGGTAATGGACATGCTTTTACCTGTGTCATTCTGCTCGCATAATCTTTCTAAAGAAACATTTTCTTCTTGAATTATAGGTTTACATGCCCTGAAAGAACCTGGCCATATTGGCCAAATTATTTTACTTACAGACTTTTATCTTTACCAAGGATTGTCTTTATTCTGTGGTGTCAGATTTCTCTAACAGCAGATTTTTGTTTTTCAGGCTGCTGTCTGAGATTCTGAAACAGACGAGTGAGGACATTGAGGAGATTGAGTACCTAACTGACGGCTCCTGGCGACCCATCAGCGACGAAAAGGAGAAGGACAGGGAAAGGGAACGCAGTAACACACCAGAGTACTCTGTGGTTGATATATGTAGGTTTTACAACCTTTTGATGTAATTTACCCACTAGGGCACTTTGGTAGGGTTTCTGTGTTTGTTTTTTTAAGTTTCAAATGTATTATTCAGCTCTTAACGGTGCTGCGGTGTCTGATTATTATAGAAAAGTGAAAGCGTCAGTTCATGGTGGAGACGGTGTAGGAAGAAAAGACATAATTAATAGGTGGTTAAAACTAACATAGTTAAAGTACTTAAAGAAAAACCAACGTTAGCCGACAAAACTGAAGCAAACGGTCATTCACCGGCTCACAGCAGCACCAGCCAGACAGGCAAATCTGGAAGCAGTTCAGTGGGGATGTCAGGAGTCACAGGAGGAACTGCCGTGGCAACGGCAGGCGGTGCAGTGGTAGATCTGACTCTGGACTCCTCCTCTGAGGAGGAAGGGGGTGGGGCAGGAGGAGACAGTGAGGACACAGAGGACAGCGCTGACAGTCCTGCCCCAAAGAGAGGCCGATATAACTACGACAAGGACCTGGTTACTGCCTACTGACCCCACATCTCTGTCCCCTCAAAAGACTGACACACCAAGACAGATGCAGGGGGCTTATTACTTGAGGACAGAAACACAGTTATCAACTCAATGCAATGATCCTCCCTAATGCCCACAATTCAGAGCCTTTTAGCTGCTCTGCTTTATACCAATACAAAACAAGCCCACACTCAAATATAAACTGTAACGAGTCTACAATCTAGAGTGATTAGGGTTCCTTTTTGTACTGTACACCACTGGAAGGAAAAAAATTATTTTGGTCACCATTCATCTTGCAGTGAGTATCTGTACCAACCTGTCTCTACTAAAGAAACTAAAAGGATCGGGGCATCCCAACACTACCGACCGCCTCCTTGTCACCTCTCCTCTGAGACCCCCACTTCCCCAAGACTCCTCTTCACTCTTTGTATTTGACTTGGAATTACTGGCTGCTTCAACCTTGGATGATCAAACTTTTTTTCTTTTCTGATAATTGTCACAGCCGTGACGAGTAGACGGGTTAAAATGAAGGCTTCTCTGTTTTTCATGAAAGGTGAAAGGCGACATGTAGAAAACGCCATGACACCATTGGGGTAGACCATTAGGGAAGAATGTCGAGTGTGATGCAAATTGAAAACTTCTTCACCTATGTTATTGTTTCTTTGTTCAGAGAATGAATTTAGAGCTTCAAAGGTTTTCAGGAATTCATCCTTTTAATTATGAAAGGGCAGAACACACCACACTGGCTTCAGTGTGTTGATTTTCATTTTAAGTTTGTCCGTAGATCAGAGAACCTACCTCAGTCATAAAACTTAACAGATTGATCAGAGAGTAACATGGGAAGATTCAGAGACACAAGCTTTGAAACACAAGAATTGATGAGACTTTTTGAAGCCGATTTTACACTGGAGATGTTGTTTTCCTACATTGTGTTGTTGTTTTTTCTTTTTTTCTTGTTTTTTTTTATTTACTGCTCCACACAGCTCTGATTCATCTGCAGCAACAATCTTTATTAAGAAAGATAAACTGTTTCAGTGCTAACTGCAGCTCACTCCCACCGAGGGCTACTGTGCCAGATGTTTAAGATATCCACCCACATGGAACTGGAATACGATTCTGGTGCCTTTGTTGTGAAGTGACAAAGGATTTGAGCTTGTAGTTGTCCAACTACACCAACTGGCAGATGAGTTTTTATTTTGTTTAGGTTTTTGTTTGAACTTTTCCAGTTTGAGAAACAGTGGCCCAGAGAGGTGGAGATGTAGGAAGAGGCTTTGGCTTTTTCTGTATTTTGGCAATCTTTAAGTATCATATTTTAAAACATCAATCTCTTAACAGGCATTTTGTAATAATAAGTTCCTGTAGTTTTTTACCACTTGCTGCTTTATAAGGATCTCTGAGTTTTCCTGTGCGAGAACCAGTCCCAGAGTGGAAATGAAAAGGTTTTCCTCCTGTACTTATTGAACATGTCCAACAACACCAATATGAAAAGTCATCTGTTGCAACCCCAACATACGTCAAGTCACATACACATTAGTGTCCTGCCTGGAAAAAAGTGGAACCGATTCAACCATCTATCACTGTTGGCCTCCCTTAAGTGGGAGTGAGGTTGTATCTGCTGGAATAGATTTGGATTTTAGTTGCTCTGTACTGTAGGATCACAAATAATATTCCACTTGCAGTAGTATTCTTAGGCTATAACTGCTATACTTCAGCTGAGGATAAACAGGCTACATGTGGATGTTATGATTTGTCTGCAGGAAGTTTGCCAGCATGAGCCAAAAGAGAATGTGTTGTTCACCTAGCTGTTAGCACTTTGATGTGTTTGCATCAGCCTCCGTTTATGGCTCAACCACCTTGACACCTTCCTGTGCTCAGATTAATGATCGTCTGCATAGGGGAACATGAAATGATGACAGGAGGGCAACCTTACAGCATAGAAAGAATAACAGATCAGTTGTAAAGACTCGACCTCTGTGATTCTTTTCGCTGGGCTTCGTATACAAGCGCTGGTTTTCAGTAATAGAGCTTTTCAAATAAATAACATTTAGACATTGATGGACGTCTCATGGAGAGACACAGATGATAATTAGGTGGAAAAGTCAAATGTGGTTACCTTTTTATGTCAAAAATATGTAACCACCAAAATGTATGATATTTGCTTCTTTTTACATTTGAGTCAAAACTTCTTAATAAGCTGCTTGGAAACAGATGATTAAGAGAAACTCCCCTTACTGTTGTCACTGAAGTCGTTTAATTTGAAAGTAAATGCTCTACAGACTAAAAGATTTTTTTCCGGACACAGGAGCGTTATTTTGAAAGGCTCTTAGAAACTTTGCCTTATCTGTAAAGGTGCAGGTGCAGGTTGCTGCTGTGGATCTGAGCCTCATTTGTCTGCAGGTAGATTTGGAGCTGGAGAAAAACCTACGGCCTGGTCTTGTTGTGGAATTTCTTACAGTGATGCATAAGGTAGCATGGGTAGAGGCGTACAATCCATGATGTAAATGTTTTGTTTGTTTGTTGTTGTTTTTTTTTTTTTTTTACATGTTCATATTAAAAGACAATAAAACTAAATAATATTTTATTAAGCCTTGAATTGCTTTCAGTTGTTCCTGCAAACGAGAAGCTAGTTAGTGCAGCTGATGCCACTGATGACTGGTTAAGGTGTAAATTGTTCTGTCCTGTACCAAATGCTCCGACCTGAGAACGCATTTGATGCCTGTTGAGGATAAAACTGTAACATTTAAAATGATCGTCTTCTAACAGCTGTTAGTGATGTGTGGAATTCATTAAATTCAATTCTTTTAAAAATGTCTGCCATCATTTATTTATTTTGAATATATCCAAGACTTTGTTGTTAAAAGATAACAGATTTTTTTCACTGATCTGACTGGACTGAGTTTTGAGCCTAATGCTGTCCTGGAAAAACATTCCTCCTTGTTCAGTGTTCTGTGGACATACATTGTGCTTAGAAATGTTGAAAATTGTACAAAATGAAAGAAGCTCTCAAAAACAAACATTGAAGACCATTTCATCAAGAACAATGAGGGAAATTGGTCTTTAAAGACTGAAATGTGAAAGGTTCAATGGGAGCGATTTCAGGACATTTTCTGACATTTATTTCATGCATTTTCTTTTCTGTCTGTAGGGCTTGGAAATGATTATTGTTTTCTTTCGAAAGGCTGCTTCTTCTAAATGTCTGCATCAATAAATTGCTTAAGCAGTTCTCACTATACTGCGCGGTGTTTTAAAGCAACTGCAACATGTAAATAGGGTGAAAAAACTGAGTCATGATGTTGACGTACTAGTTATCTGTTTAGGCTGTTAAATGAGCAATGATGAAGCACTGACCCCCACATGATGCTACCGACCAATCAAATTTGCTATCGCCTTAAAGTGGCTCCAGTTTCCATTTGACAAAACACTTTTCTGAATATGTTAGTGCCAAGAGACAAATGGCATTCCAGTTTAAGAATGTTGTGAGTGTTGGACTGTGTGAGATGTGTGGTCAGGGAGTGCTGTTTCTCATCCGTAGCCACTGGCTACTACAGTATTTGAAAAAGCCTATAGTAGCAAAATACTAAGTGAAGTAGATGCAAGGCATGTATGAGGTGTGTGGAGACATCAAGGCCAAAAACATGCAGATTGGGAATTAAGCTAATTGGACACCTATGACAGCATGTGAGTCTGAATGGCTGTCTGTCTCGGTATTTGGCTCTGTAATGGACTAGTGCATAATTTCTCAAAGATTGGGTCGTGACCCTCAGGTGGGTCACAAAAGGTTTTTTTTGGGATTATGTTTCCCAGGAGTTTGCAAATAATGTCTTTTGATTTGGGTCAGAATGTTTTTGACTTTTAAAATATGGGTCCCCAGAAAAAAAGTTTGGGAAACACTGGACTATCGAACTGTCCTGAATGAGGTCAAAGGTCTCAAACATTCGCTTGCAATGCATAAATAGATTTAGCTGTGGGAAGTGATGAACAAAGAGCCCAAAGATTAATTGTAGACATTAGAAAGAAGAACATAAAGATGTATCAAACCTGAGCTCACTCAGGAAGTTAAAGAAAGGTCTTGACATCCTGGTTACAAAGTTTTTGAGTTATTCATTTCTAAACTTGATCCTAGATCAATTATTTCTGCGTTAGTTTCGCCTCGTACCCACAAGATGTCAGTAACGTACCTCGCGGCATGTTCATCGAAGCCGAGGTAGAGTGAATAGGTTTGAAAACTGTGGGGTCTCAATAGTTTAAAGGAGGAGAGAAGAGGTGTTATTACGGAACTAGATGTTGTGAAATTTCAACATGGGCTGAATAAGTCTGGAGCTTTGTATGAAAATCTCTCCCTCTCCCTGTCTCTCTCTCTCTCTGACTGCCTGCCTGCCTGTGGGTGTCACACAGGTCTGATGCTGCAGCTGCTGCTTCCTGTATTCAAGCACCACCAACCAGAGCCAAAGCCCTTTTGCTTCAGATCCCTACACCCCGAGCCGAAACACTCAGGAATTTGTTTGCCGATACGCCGCCGTCTTGCGAAAGGACCCGATTCGCTTTGCCCCTGGTTTTTGACTCGGTGAAAGTGCGGCAGCCCGTTTTTCTTTCTGCAGAAGCCGAGGCGCTGCACTTTAAGGCTGAGCGACACAGGACGCGGTTTTTCCCAGAAGCTGGTGATAGCTAGTAGCGGCTAGGTGGCTAATGGCTAGCAGCAGCTAGATAAGCAAAATAAGACACATAATAGGCAATATGTACTCACTCCAAATGCTATAGGTGCACCGAGAACCAGTCTGTAGTTGAACAGTCATCTCGGCATGATTCGTTTTTTTACACTGGCTCACTGACATGCAAACGGAAGTACATTAAATTTTGCTAACGCTAGCCAGCTAAGATACTAGCCACGTAGAGCTGAGCCTGTTGCTTTTTTTCTCCCAGACTAAGTGTATAGCAAGAAATACGTATCTATAACCAGTCCAACTTTTTAGTGTTTTATCTGAAAAAGTAGAGTGGGGGTAGTGAAAGAAATGGCTCCCAAAAAAAGACCCGTGCCCCTGAACATAACCCCCAGTGGGGAGGGACAGGCCCCCTCCAACACAAATGATGCTGCATCAGAGTGAGTAGTTCCACAGCTCTTACTTGAAAAAACACATTTTCCTTGTGTCATTGAATAAATGTTATTTTGAAGCTGTTCTAAATGTTTTATGTCTGTCATATCTATATCATTTTCTGGTGAACCTTTGATACTTGTTCCTGGCTCTTGATAAAATGTCACCTTAGTTGCTTGCACAGTGAGGTGTAATTGCGCTCTTCATGCATTGACACATATCAATCTCTGTCATGCAAATTGTCCATACGTTTGTTTATTTATCAGAGCCAACCTCGAGGCCTTACAGAAGAAACTAGGTGAGCTGGAAATGGACGACCAACAGAGAAAACGACTGGACGCCTTCTTCAACCAGAAGGCTCAGGTTGGAGAGTTGAAGGATGAGGACTTTGAGCCCATATGCGAGTTGGGAGCGGGTAACGGAGGAGTGGTTAGCAAGGTCTGCCACAAACCCTCGGTTTTGATCATGGCCCGCAAGGTATATATTTACTTTCTTTTGCTCTTTATAGGTGAACTATTTCAGAGGGAGGTGTTTCAAAAACATTCCACATACATTTCCTTAGTCAACAGCAAATGGATATGTTTTGTTGTGATATTTAGCTACATGTGGTAGACTATTTCTCAACTCACAATAGCTGTGGGAGAACACGTAGGATTGTCTATTTAATTGAGTTGTAGGCTAATGGAGCATCTTGTTGACACATTATGGCTATTTTCATATAAAAGACCAGCTACTGATGTAATTAGAAAGAAGGACAAATAAACTGTCATCATACTTTAAGTTTTCATCAATAAACTCACTTTAACTTCTGTTTAGGCCATTAAAAATATATAGGAACTAATTACACGAAACCTACACTATGACATTTGGTCTTAACTATAGCACAGGGTTGAAAAAAGGTACACAAGACAACAATCTTGGGGTACCTGATAATATTATAAGATTATGATTTTGGAATTACTATAAACTACAGAAAAAATATGCAAATACATGAATTATTATAAATGAGTATATAAGTATTTCAAAACCACTTTTAAATAACCAAATTATTCTGTGGTGTTAAGTTATTGATTGGAGCAGTATATGCCCCTTGGTATTTCAAGACATACACAATTATGGAACTTGCAAAGTGGAGGTTTTGTTTCTGTACGACAAACGATTTTCCTTCTTAACAAATAAATAAATGATAAACTGACTGTTCATGAGATGTGTGGAAAATATTGTACAAAGAAACCTTTATTTTAAGTTTGAAATAAAATGTAGGACGGACATGTTGGCTCAAGGTACAATGTGTTAATGCAAAAAAAGTTAGGTTCACTTAAATGCAAATATCTTGGGATTTTTTTCATGTTATCATTCAAAGCCCTGCCCTGTCCTGAAACCCTGTTCGTAATGTTGACTCAACAAATATCTCAGACGTAAATAACAAATCCTAAGGTATTGTGCTGAAAAGCAGTTTACATGATTATATTGCTCTTCATAACAGTTTTTGAATATTAGTGCCACAGGCCTTAAAATCAAGTAAAATGTAAAGCTGCAGTTGTATAATTTTATTTAATATAGAAATAGTCTTTGATTACATAACAGCTGACACAGCCATCCAAGCGACAGGCTTTAACTTGTCAACCATCCAGCTATGTTGTGACTTGCTTTGTTTAGAAATAAAATACAAGCCCCCCCATAAGATAAAAACTCTCTTAAAGTAGATTCATGGTTCGTTTTTTACAGATCAGAGAATTTTGAACACATCACATCTAAACAAACTGTATTTACTAATATTTTAGAAGTCGCAAACCTTCGCGACCCAAGTGAATAGAAAAAAAAAGTGTCTTGCGACCCACCTGAGGGTCGCGGCCCAGTCTATAGGAAACAATGCTGTAAAGTACTACCAAGCTCAAAAATTTGTGGTTGATCTTCCTGTTCTCCAACAAGGAATGCATGCACCTAATGAGCTGTAAAATGCCGATCATGCTGGTCAATCTGTGCATCTCTTCCAAACAGAATTTTCCTCCAAAGTGTTTGGAAAATCTTCTGTTTCTTCCACTGCCAGCTCTTAACCAGTCTCCTACATAGCTAGTTAAAAAGAACATATAATTATAAAGAAATCCTCTTGGTCTTCATTGAACGACAGTTGATACTTGAATATTTACCCTTCCCAGTTGATCCACCTGGAAATCAAGCCTGCCATCAGGAACCAGATTATCAGAGAGCTACAGGTGCTGCATGAATGCAACTCCCCTTACATTGTGGGCTTCTACGGAGCTTTTTATAGCGATGGAGAGATCAGCATCTGTATGGAGCACATGGTGAGAGACAAAGTTGTTTAAAGTGAACCAGTGTGGTTAATTACAGTTGGAGTGTTTAGCCTTCCAAAGTAACCATGCTGAATAAAATATGTCGGTTTGGATTGCAAAATATATTAAGATCTGAATTTTGCAACTTGTTTTTTCCAGGATGGTGGATCGTTGGACCAAGTCCTGAAGGAAGCCAGAAGAATCCCAGAACAAATCCTAGGAAAAGTTAGCATAGCTGTGAGTATTGACACTGATACTAAACATAATAAAGTAACACATGATGTGGAAGTCAGATTTTCTTTGTTTTTTTTTGTGACCAATTTTTCACCATATTTAAATGGTCCACATTATAAGTGGAAATATTTCTTTCAGTGGTTTGTGGTGCATTGAGGTCTGTGAATTGTTAAATATTTTCCTCTCTTGTATTACAGGTGTTGCGTGGGTTAGCCTACCTGCGAGAGAAGCACCAGATCATGCACAGAGGTACAGATGTTGTGATATATCGCACGAAAAGCTTAAATGTTTTAATTTTAGTTCAAGTCACAAGTCCTTGTGTGTAGTCTGTAAAGTCTTTTCTGTGTTTGTGTATGATTTAAATTCACTAAAGAAAAATGTTTGGTTCGCCACACAGATCAGTTTCTTTCAGAATGGTAAGTTTAGTTTCACACATTTGAGATAGTGGAGAGCATTACTCTGTGGTGTTCTACAGACCATAAACACAGATGACCTTTGACCTGCACTTTGCTGAAAATTGTTTTGTATTTTTAAAAAAATCAATATTCTGAATTTTAAATATTTTAGATTAGACATGAATCAGCTACCATTGGTTTAAATATGTGTCACTTCTATGGACAGCTGCAAATAATGTGTATCAAGTTCCTTCTGTTTAATTTGTGACCATCGATGCTGGTGCTAACAAGGTGACATTCAAAGACTCACGTCATGTAACAGCTTCAAACTAGGAAGAGATGATCAAAAGATTATTTTACCTCTTTTGAAATGCCAGTTAAAGCCATTTAGATTTGATGGTTATTTAGAGAAACCTAAAAGTCCAGGGTGTGAGAACTGGTGACGTTTCATTATGAGACAGCAAAGAGCAGCAAACAAAGGGTTTTTTCTTTCACAATCCAGAAAGAATGTCAACACTATTTCACCACTCTTCACTTTACCACACTCACCCTGCTGTTTCCTTATTTTGTGTATGTGAGCAGTGAAGTCGTAATGAAAACGGGGCATTTTTCAAGTGGCAAAACAAGGATGAGAAAAAAAATGGATACACTAGTTGTTTTTCTAAATAGGAATATGCAGATACCAAAACATACCTACATGTAGTCAGTGTGTCTAAATAATTTGATTTGTTAAATTTCCTTTGTGTCATTTTTATATTATACCAATTACTTTAGTCTCAGTTTCATCATTTATTGATAAAGGTCATGTTGTTCCAAGGCAGAAACAAAATAAAAGCCCATTTTAGTTTTTATCATTTTCAAGTATATAACTGATGAGACTGTAGTGGTTTCAGGCCCAGTGTCTTTTTTACAGGGAAATATTAGTGACTGTTAAATACTGAAAACTTTGGCACCAAACCCTTTGAAGATGCTCACAGACATAGAGTAGCCACAGGTGCGAAGGGATTAAAAAGGTTTCCCACTATGTTTATTTTCAGTGTTATCATCAGCTTTGTTAGTAAATTTTAAATGACTTAATTCCAGAGTATGACACAGCCATGTTTTCTTTGGAATATCGGTAAGGAGCTACTATTTGTTAAGAATATGAGTAGTGAAGGCATCAGAGTGCAGTACACAGCAGGCCAACCGTGCTGCGGGGTCGGTGGTACTCTTCAACGCAGTTGTCCGTGCACTCAGGCAGTAATTACAGCCTCTTCGATGTGATTATACAGCAGCCGCGCCCTGCTGACCCCTCCCTCTGGGTCTCCCTCCATCTTTCTCCTGCTCTCTCATTCTACCTCCTTCTCAGTCTCTCCTCACACTCTGTTGGCCACTAAGGGGTCAGTCACCACAGAGGACAGATTGTAGGTCTCAGTCAGACCTGATTATTTTGCAGGATGTGTTTCGGTGATGAAGGGGAAATGTGGAGGAGCAACCTTATTTATAACCTAGGTTTAGTCTTTAGAGAGTTGGGCTGTTTTGTCTTATGGCGTCGGAATGCAGCTCCTCAGGCAAAAAGGGGTGACAGTGCAGGGAAACCTTTTTTTTCCCCAAAATGTGTGTACTTTTTCTAAGAATAATGGCAATCATCATCTGTTTCTACAAATTGTATTACTCGAATACTTTTTTTTTTCATTTAAAAGCAGTTGGGCTCTGGACCAGACCTCACAACTGTTTGTCTTTCTTTTAGGAAATCAACATTATTTTTTTTATTATTCTGACATTTGTTAAACCAATTTCTCAGAAAAGTAACAGTTTGCTGGTGCATGGTAAAGGGCGCAAGAAGCATGACTCATGCTCAGCTATTTAGTATGAATTGATCTTTACGTTTTAATTTTTTCTCCTCAATATTGTTACATAAATTGGAATCTATGTAAATATGTGACAAACTCCATCATTTGAAGGGAACATGTACACTAAGAAAGTCAGAGATGTCTTTGAAAAATGACCTGTGCCAGGCACAACGTCAGCAGTGACTTTATAATTGTGTCGAACCAGATGTGGACTTTGTGCACATGACTTATAGTAAAGTAATGGATGGGTCGATGTGAGCGCACACTGAGACTAAAAAATTAGTTTGTAGTCCTAGTTAACAGAGTCTAATGTCTGTACCACAGGAAAAAACAACTTCAGGGGTGAACACACCCTTAAAGTGACATGTTTTTTTTTTTTTGTCTCCATCCCCTCTGCCACCTAGATGTCAAGCCCTCCAACATTCTTGTCAACTCTCGCGGGGAGATCAAGCTGTGCGACTTTGGTGTAAGCGGCCAGCTCATAGATTCCATGGCCAACTCCTTTGTTGGAACGCGCTCCTACATGTCGGTGAGTCAGCTCTACATGCCTGCACCCCCACACCTTTTCCTCTGGCCCTATCCCCACTTTCCTTCTCTTTTCTCACACTGCTCCTCTCGATGGCCACGCCCTCTGCCTTCCCTTCCCTTGGCTCTCTTTGCCAAGAACAGAGGAGCTGTGTCCAGCAAAGCGATCGTAGGCAAAGAGCTAAGCAAATGTATTTGCTCTTTTTATCCCCACCCATAGACACTTGGTGGGTATAGTGCTGAAAGAGGCTTGTCCTTATATACTCCGTTCTCCCATAGATACCCATATAGCATCAGTGGTATGGTACACTTGCCCTTTCATCACAAGTCTCAGCACTCACATCTGTCCTTGCTCGACCTTCTAACGAAAACACTCAGACGCTGCTCTTCACTTCCTGCCAATCCCTTTCATCCTCTGTCCTTTTGTCCAAACCACACCCCACCTCTCCTTGCCATAATACCCCCCTCCTCCCTATCCTCTTCCATTATCCTCTCCTCTATTTACTGTACCTTCCCCACCCAGCTCTGTGCCCAAACCTCTCCTCCTGCCTGTCGTCTTGGCTCTACCTGCCCCCTCTGACGTACATTGTGCGTTTCTTAACAGCCGGAGAGACTGCAGGGCACTCACTACTCTGTTCAGTCTGATGTGTGGAGCATGGGCCTGTCCTTAGTGGAGCTGGCAATCGGCCGCTACCCCATTCCCCCGCCAGACGCCAAAGAACTGGAGGCCATCTTTGGAAAAGCTGTTTTAGATGGTAGTGAGGCTGAGCCTCAAACCAATGTGCAAAGGCCAAGACCTCCAGGCAGACCTGTGAGCGGTAAGAACACAATGTCCAAGAGAGCAAGATAGATTCCCACTAAAATTATTTTTAAAGGTGGGACTTGTGGAAATTCAAGTCCTGCTACAGGCAGGACTTAAATTTAATAGTAGTAATTGCACTGATTTGTGTAGATAGCAGTCCATAAAATGGAAAAATAAATATCAATGAAGAGAAATGTCACTCATGTCCATATGGAGCACATATGTAAAACAGGGGTCTGCACTTACATCGGAGTCCATTCGTACAGAGCCGTCGTTGGTTTAACACCATACGGCAAAAAATGGAGCAGGACCTTTTTAATAAATATATTGGAGGTGACGTTACCCTGAAGTGTCGTAGGTCGAGGTAAACCAAGGACCCCTTTATTTAGTCAGTCATCAAACATAATTATTTGAAAATAGAAAGCCGTTGCTGACAAGTATTGCTACTGTATTGATTACAAAAAAAAATTTGCACTCCTATTATTTATAAAATCAAATGCCTATAAAGCAATTAGTTCTTTAAATTGTGTCCAAACACTTTTTTATAGCGTTAGAAGAAGAAAAATACAGGGAAGACAAACCATTTGGACCTATGTTTGTTCACAGGACACGGGATGGACAGTAGACCTGCTATGGCCATCTTTGAACTTTTGGACTACATTGTAAATGAGGTGAGAGATGTTTGCTTAAACGCAGACAAAAAAAACTGCGTACTTCACATTCATACTAACAAGAGTCTCCTTAACTCCTTGCTTCTTCCTCAGCCACCGCCGAAACTGCCACACGGTGTCTTTTCCAATGACTTCCAAGACTTTGTGACAAAGTGGTGAGAAAAGAAATACCACGTTAAACCCATGAAAACAGAGTTCAACTCCGTCGTACTTTTTCCTGAAAAAATCTACCAACACTTAAAGAATAGATCTCATCTGTTTGTATCCATGAAACCAAACTGCTGCTCATGAATCCACTCCTCTGACCTCAGCCTTGTTAGCGACTCTTTCCAATTCCTTCCTACTCTCCTGTAGTTACGTGTGTGCAAACAACTGTCCTTAAAATTCATTAGGGCAGTGTGTCCATGAAATCCCTCTTTTCTATCGTCTATCTCCATACTTTTAAACTGCTCTAACTTCCTGTTTACTCCTCAACTAATTGATTCAGTATCTCTGTCTCTAGTTTTTCCACTTTCATCAGCTCCTCAAAGTACTCTTAAATGCTCTAAGCTCATATTTTCCTGGAAGAGGAGTGTGTCCCAGATGATCTACAATTCGTCAGTATTTGTACAACAATTAGGGAGAATTAAGGCGCTAATTCAAATGAATGAATTGAGTCACATCTCGGTGCAATTCCCTGGTTGGTCCAATGTGCCCAGGACCTAATAAACACTTAAATAAACACCTGTTCTTGAGTCTCACACACACACACACACACACACACGTACGTGTATATATAAGGTGTGTAACAAAATATTGATAACGCTGAAATTTTGCACTACTTCATGCCGTATCGATATTCTACAGCACTATAAAGAAAGTTAAAGTACATTTAACGTGCTAATACTCATGCCGCTGGATCATTTTACTTTTGATTTTATATCTTCTCTAGTGATTACAAATGTTCCAATTTTAGTAATCTGATGAAAACCATGTAACGGCATGTCAACCTCAAGACTTAGACATTAAAACTCAGTCAAGAACTCTTCCCAGAAAATAATTTATGTAGTCATTTCGAGTACTAGAGTTACTTTTGTCTGTATGGTAACTGTATTTGAATTCTGCTGTGATAAAATGTGAGGCTTCTCTGTAACAAATTATTAATGTGTCTTTCTAAATGGGATGAACATCACTAAATGTCTTTTTCTTGTTTTTCCGTTTGTAGTTTGATAAAAAATCCAGCCGAGAGAGCGGACCTCAAGATGCTAATGGTGCGAATCTGATCTTTTACTTTTACACAAGTGACATTTTAATGACTGTAATTGCTGTTATTTCCACATTGACTCATTCAATGAGCATATACATGACCTGTCAATGTTGTCAGTGACTCTCTATTTTAAACGACTACAAGAGATAGTGCTTCACAAAAATGCAACGATATGATACAGACACCACTTGCATGCAAGTCTAACAATGACATATTTTCAAAACACAGGCTACTAATATCCTAGCAGCTCAAGTATTGATTAACATTTTTTTATTTATTTTTTAAACAGAGTCATACGTTCATCAAACGATCAGAAGTGGACGAGGTCGACTTTGCAGGCTGGTTGTGTAAAACCATGGGGCTCAAACAGCCCAGCACTCCCACCCGCAGCACGGAGTGAAAAGGCTCCTTCACAGCACTGACACACCTCTGGGTCTTGCTTGCATACGCATACTGTACATACACGTACACAAGCCATCATACATATTGGCACTTTTTTCATCTTGCTCTTGGGTAAAACGGTTTCAGCCCCCCTCCCCTTCATTTATTTCTTCTGTTGAGTCATTGCAGCTGGTTCTTTTGAGTCATTGTACTTAAAGGCCACAGCTTCACCATGCCAGTGTCAAGAGTAGCCACAACTCTTTTTTTCACACAGCTAAAGAGGATGTAAAGGGCTCCTTGTGTGTTGGCTGAATTTGCATTAATTGACAAAAAAAATCTTTTGTATTTTCTGTATTAATCTTTTCTTTGGCAATAGTGTGAGGCCTGTAGTGTTTTAAAAGATCACCTACTGTAAGATTTTTGTTGGTTGATAATGACAGAGAGAAATTGAAATGTGATGTATGACCTCAGAAATATTAAGTGATTTTATTAAAAAAAACAGATACTATTATTTTGATTTAAAATCCTTACGTCCAATGTTTCTTAAAAACAACTTTTGATAAGGCCTTGCACTTACCTTTGATTATGGGGGGAAAAATCCACCGGACAAATGGGCCTATCAAGTGTCATTTTCATGTTTTGGTTATTTTTCAATCACTTTAAAAATCGCTTTGTGAACAGTGTCACAAACCAAAGACGGTACTTATGACTACTAATGCCTGCTTTATTTCTTTACTATGTACTTTCATAAACAGTATGTCAGCCTACTTTTTTCCTGTTTCACCAAAAGGTGACCCTACACTCTGATTGCGTTGACATTGTTTCCATAGCATACATTTCAATCCATGTCCGATTTGTTGATTTGATATACATTTCAATCCATGTCCGATTTGTTCGTCCCACGTGTTTGGAGGCATATGCTGTGGAGGCTGTGAAGCCAAAATGTCTTTCTTCTGACTTTGAGATAACAATGATCAAACTTTGGATGAATTTGCAGCCTTGATTATATTTCTATTCCTGTATTTTTATTTTATTTCCTAAAATAAAGGCGGATAATTAGCTGGTGTTTTTATCAGAAGCCTGAATCTCTGAAGTGTGGTTATAAGTTTCAATCACAGTTTAAAAAAAAAAATCCTTTCTCTGTTGTTGGTCTGTACATTTTCTTGAAATATATTCGGTTAGGATTTTACAGTACTGCAATGTGTGGCACTCTGCTTTCTTTTTGGACATGACCAGTTGAGATGTGTGTTTTAAAAACGTTTGGGTTAAACACTGTTGAAAATCTGTCCCTGTGATCTAACCATTCTAGTTGTTAAAGTACAAACTGCTGGTGTCTAGTAGAACAAAGGGTTCAACAGCTGAATTATAACCCAGTCAGTGTTGGTCACATGGTGGTGGAGGTGTTACATGCTATCCTGGCATCTTGCTACAGCTCTTGTATTTCCTCTGTTATGGCTGCCTTCCCCCCCCCCCCCAAAAAAAAATACATGTGCATTCATTCAGAGCAACATGGATGCATTGTCACTTATGTGTACAAAGCTATATACAAAGATCACAGGAGTACTATTTTGCAGTCTTAATATACAATTTTTTGATTTATGTAAATGACAAGGGAGAAAAGTCATTTTATTATAATATAAAAGTGTGTTGGATATGGTTATAATGTATAAAAAGATGAAAATAAAACTTATTTGTGAATGTATTCTCAGTTGTTACTCGCCTGGCATTTATTACGTATGTCTTTAAAATTTCAAAGAGAAGTCCTACCATCAATGGGTCACTCCAAGTTGGTCATTTATTATTATTGATAGACAATACATCAACCCATATCACAGCAACTTATAAGCCTCAACACATTAACATTGCCATCTGATTTGCATTAGACTGAGCTTTACAGTGAAATTGTCTGCAAAACTAAGTTTGTTTTGCCTGATGGAGTCTATTATTAGAGTCACTAAGGACAGTGAATTTGTAAGGCCCCAAACCTTTTTATTTATTCGTCCATAATACCAAATGTTATTATCAATTAACCTAATAATTGAGACATTTGAATATGTTTGATACTTAAATGTTGTGGTATCAATTACAATTTTATATCTTTTCAAAGGGCATGTGTAAGGCCAACCATTTTGTGTGCTATCCAATGGAGTTCAGTTGTTTTAAGAATTAAACTTTTAGCATATTAAATGCCAGTATATCTTAGAACTTAAATAAAACCGATTAATAGTTTTTACTTATATTGTGTTCACTACATACATAGCTACATACGTATGCGCATAGATGGTAATACATACGTACATGCATGCATGTATGCATACACATGGAAACAACAAAGGATTGATTTGTTTCTTTGGTACAAAGTGTCGACACGAAGTTAATTCCGCACTATAGACGATCACAAAGTAAACTCTCCGCCGATTGGCTGAATGACGCCCACGCGCCAACTGCCAACAGAGTGACAGTTTAAGAAACTTTGTGATTTATTAACTCTTCAGTTCGTGAAAGGTGAGCAAGTTTTCCTACAAAAATATTTTTGCAAGATAATGACGAACTAGCGGTTAGGCTGTTTTGCTAACTAACGTTAACGGCGTGTTAGCGTCGAAACATATGACTGATACCGAATTTTCTTTAGCTAAAAATCTGAACTCATTTGCTTTTTTCGGAGATATAAATATCGTACCGTACATACAGAAACTATATCTGTCGGAAAATAAAAAAATAAGCACCTTAAGACATGACAAATTAGTTAATTTATACCACAAACCAACTATTGATGTCTCTAAAGCACTGGTCTAGCAGCGGTACAATATAGGTGGTACACTAGTGAGTGCTACCAGTGGAACACTTGGTTTACATTCAATTTAAAGTCTCACATTTCATCTAATGTTAGTTTTGGAGGTAAAACACTACAACAACTAATTTGTTAAATGACAACATAATTGAATATAAGGCAGATTTTGTGAATGTTATTTATGCAATGAAATTTGCATATTCAAATTCATCCGAGCTGCATCTAACCAGTTATGTCCATATGCAGTATTTTACATGCACTTTTGAAGTTAAATGTGAGAAGGCGCACAACAGTGCCCTCTTGTCACATAACATGGCACTACTGTGTCCTATCCCCGTGTCTTCAGTGCAATGCAATGTGTGCAGTGCCAAGCTCTGTTGCACTGCATTTGCAAATTTGCATCGTGTGTCATACTATGTGTGTGTTTTTGTGAGCGCAACAATACAGTACATACTGTGGTAAATACTGTAAGTAAATAACAACCAAATCATCATTCACGTCCTTTTCTCTATCTCACTATGGCACAGACTGCAGAGTGGTAGAACGTCAAGTGTGTAAGCTGTAACTTTACAAATGGGAACTTGCAATGTGCAACCCTGGACATGACACACTTGAACTTGGCTCTTTCTTCTCAGATGCCTCACCTGTTGGAGCATGGCAGGTTTATTTAGTTAAAGAATGAAGGGGGTTGCTGGCAGCCCCTACTGTATGTGCAGGAATGTGCCATGGCTTGCTTTTGGGATGGGACACCATGACCCCGGGCAATAGGATGGGTTTGTGCAACTTGACTCGTCATAGAAAAAGACAGATAAGAGAGAAATGAAATGTGTTGGTAAAAGCAAGTGTTAGAATGGAGATTTATCTTAAAACAAGATACATATTCAGAAATACAGTAAACGCATGCTGGCATCTGTCACAATACAACAGAGTGGGATAGTTCAGGTTATGGATGTGTGTCTTTGATTTAGTTCATGAATTTTTACCAGATGACCAGCTTGGGGTGCGTTAACAATTTCTACTTTTCTTTCACTTCACAGACTGTGTAGGCAGAGAAGCCAGCGGGTGGATGCTGTTCCTTTAAGAGAGAGGAAGGGAGAGTGAGAATGAGAGAGAGAGAGAAAGGGAGGGACCTCTTTGCCCTCCAGAAACCAGGAAGGGAATTGAGTTGATCTGCTGCTGCTTGGTTAGCGCATACTGGGCTTTAAGCTGCACAACAGTGAGAGGGAGAGAGTGAGCTCTGGAGAGGAGGAGAGGAGAGGGCTGAGCTAACCCAAAACAAGCAGCACCACGGCTATTGCAGGTGAGCTAAAGACACTCTGACATCCCTCCTGCTGACTGCCCTGGGCCTGTCGTCTAAAAGGGGAGCAGGGCAGAGGAGGAGAGGAGGAGGAATGAGGGAGGGCAGAAAGGAGAGCAGGGTGGAGGGGTTGGCCATAGAGGAGAGGTAGGTCGCAGCTGTAGTCCCCTGTCAAGGTTCCTCTTTTGAAGTCATCATACAAAACTTCCTTTGCACTGTTTATTATACCTTTAGGGAATTTGGAGGTAAAGTTTGAATGATCTTTTCAAGATAACTTTTTAGCAGCTGCAAACACGGAGAGGGGGCTCTTAGAAAGAAAGGGTTGCTAGTATGAAAGGACGGTAGAAAAGAAATTAGTTTAATTTTGAAATACAAGGCAATGGAAACTATAAAAACATTTAGCAGACAGTAGTGGTTGAAATGTTCAATGCAGAAGAAGCTGCCTGGTGTGTGTAGTTGACATATTGTTGTGTTTAGAAGAGTAATAACAAATTATTTAGGTCAGACATATGTGGGTCTAAAATGTCAATAGATTTGTTCAAACACAATTCACTTCCATTATTTGCTTTCTGTTATAACAGTTAAGACTGACGTCTTCATTTATGTTGGGTTTTTTTTTTCTCAGTCAAGCTGAGACCTATTTGATGGTCGGTCTGTACTTTAATACCTGGCTGCTTGTTAGCAACATTCAGTAAAGTATAATTCAGCCCTGAGTGCTTACGTTAGACCAGGCTTGGAGATAGTTAGGGCTCACAGGGCACAGAGAGATGGGACTCGTAGTCCACAGCAGAGGATGCAAAGCATGTTAGACATTGTTTCAGAACTGTGTTTCCCAGAGTGCCATGGCCTCGGTCATCCAGGAAAGGAAACAGCCACGAGCCTATCCCAGCAAAGAGGTGTGGTGAGTGAGCAGCAGCTAAACCAATGAGAGTAGGGGATGCAGAGCAGAGTTGTGGGCTGAAAATAGAGGAGGTGGGGCAGTGGCGGCGGCGGTGGTGGTGGTGGTGGTTGGAGGAGGGGGTAAGTGTCTGTTTGTGTGGGATCAGACGAGGGCTTGCCTGTATGACTAGGACCACTTGCAAGTTTCCTCTCTGGTTAAGCTGCAGCCCTGCCCAGAGACCAAGGCAGCAGAGCTGGCCGACAGGCAGGGAAGTCAGACAGGGCCAGGGAAACATTTTCTACCTATTTGGTAAGCACACCAGGACATCTACACACACACACACACACACACACACACACACACACACATACACCAGACACTGTCTGTAGACAGTGTCAGAGAGCAGAAAGGAGGCAGGCAAAGGTTTTTATGACATGCTGTTTGAAAAGGTGAACGTGAGAGATGTTGTTTTGATAGAGTTCAGAGTTCTTGACCCACTTGCAGTTGGAGCATGTAGGTCAGTGTTGAAAATCAGGTGCTGCTAAAACTGCTCCAAATAATTGTTTTCTGAAACTTTTCATTTCCCAGCAAACTTGTTATTGTTATAGGCATTAACACATGGTGCTTGAGAATTATATTCAGGCAACTAATGTTTTATTTAATGCATCTAATATTGCGATTAAAGGATGCTGCTTTAAAAATAATAAAAGGGAAGAAGAATTTTTCTTATTGGACATTGTATATAAACAGACATATATACACACAACGAAATGTGTTTACTTCTTAGAAATTGCAGATGGACACTGTACTGTGGATTAACTGTTTTAGAAACTTTTGTAGTGCTAAGGAGTAGAACATATTTCATTGGTCAGCTTGTGCACAGTGCAGAAAAACACTTGTTTTTTGTGACTAATATTAGTTGTTCTCAGCCTATGGTCAATCTCATGACATCATTTTCTGTCAGCCCACCTTCCTCCCTCACTTTCCCACCCACTCCCCCTTCTCTAGCACCACCACCACCAGCATCTTGTTAGCAGATTTTAATCTTGTCTGTCATGTACTGCTTGCTTGTGGCTGGTGGTTTAAAAGACTTCACAGAAACCCTGGCGGCCTTGCCCAATAAGTAGATGCATAATTTCGGGCTTTGCATACTTGTTCAACTCGTTTTTAAACGTGTGGGCATGGAGAGGGTATAAGAGGAACGCAGCACATGAAGACGCCCATGTGCTGGGAAAGTGTTTTGCTTCTCCAATGCCAGCAGTAGAAAACATTAATGACATTACTGTAGTGGGTTTACTGTTGGGTTTACTGTAGATATCATACATGTTAAACACTTCACTGATGCAGCCCTCTGTACCTTTCCATGTAGACATTGTGTTTAAAGTATGGTTCATTTAGGTTAATTGCAACAAGAGGTTAAACTAGGACGGCATATGTGTTTTTGTATATAAGTGTGCACTTGTGTGTGCATCTGTGTTACCAACAATAGACTCCAGGGCAATTGCAGGGGACTTCAGTGGCTGTGGGCAGGTCCAAGACACCACCCATCAATTTGGCGGTGAGGCTGAATACAGTTTGATATTCCTGTATGTTTGTGCCTGCACCACTATGGCCTGAAACTAGCAGGTTCAGACAGACTAAGACGACAGGTTGCGTGATGTCGCCGTGGCAGTTTGAGGTTTTATTTTAGCTGCCTACAGTATATTACATGTAATAGTCAACATGTTTGCTTAGAGTTGTTTTGATGTGGTAAAATATTGTATTCCTATTCATGTGATAGTCAAGACCATCACACCAACATGTTTGCGCTGCATATTTAAAATGTACGACTTTTAGCAACAATGTAGCCTCTTCCCTGGTAAATGCAACTACACTTCCCCCCTGATATTTTGTTCCCCTAGTCAGTGATCAGTGTTCTGAAACCTTGAGCTTGACTATATGAACAGACAGATGCTTCTCTGTTGCTTTTCTGTTGGTGTGCTGAACTCCAGGAGGAGTTGAGGGTCTTCGTCTGTTGTCTTCGGAGACATTATTCATGGAAAGGCCAACAAAACCTGATCAAATTAGAGTAGGAGAGAAACTGACTTGGTGTATGTAAAGGAACGTTTAGATGGGATTTTTCACATTTTTATTATTAGTCAACACTGTTTGGACAACTCATAAATAGTGCTTAACTTCTTTAATGTATTATCAGAAACTTTTTTTTCTTTCTACTTCATAAACCATGAGTTTCCTCAAATGAAAAGAAAATGCTAACTAACATGTATGCCTGGAGCCATATATGTGAGCATTATGACACTGTTTGCCACTTGATGTAGCTAATCAGTTTGCGAAATGAAACAGTTGCATTAAAGGCTGGCAGGTCTGTGCTTCTTTGCCTCCCCAGTAACGCAATGGGGAAGTGGGTGGTGTGATGGTGGGTACTGAGGACTTTAAGACAGTAATGGAGCAATAAAGACAAAGAGAAAAAGAGGATCACATAGTAAGGACAGAGCAAGCAAGCAGACTGAGAGCTGGTCATCTGATAACAGAGCAGGTTCTGTTACACACTTGCCACAGACTTACAGGAAGTTGTCTTTCCCAGCAGGGTTGCGCATGCACAGAATGATGAAGCTAGGACATGTTTTGGCCTGCGGACTGACCGACTGGTCAGCCACGGTTCTGCTGAATGCTGGGTTGTATATGTTTTAATGCCATGTGATAGGGTTTAGTTTACTTCCTCTTTTTCAGCATGGAAATGTCAGAGCCTTTTTGGAAAGCAGAATTTCAGCTAGTGTATCTAGTTTATTGCATGGCAATTTGAGGAAGGCTGCGGTCAGAAATCTCATGTCTTCACAATGAAACTTTAATCAATAGGAGAAAGCTAAACTGTACTTTAGTTTATAATGTAATTAGTAGATTATTTTGAATTAAACAAATGACAGCACACATTTTGTCAACTTATTTGATAAACTGCTTTATATTGTGCTTTTCAGTATAACAAATAGGAGAGTGACCAAATGAGTTCCTCTCAGAGGACCAAAGTTGAAAATGAGCTTGAACTCTAGAGTATACTATGGAGTTGTAAACCCCACTTTTGTTGTGCATCTTTAGTTCCATTTGTCTCTGCTGGTCCGCTGTCTACTCACCTTACTGGCACCAATGTGACTTTTGAAATGGCTCTAATAAGTATGAAGTATTTTTAATGCAGGGTTGTTTTTCATTTAAATCTGGCCTTAGATGCTCTGTTTAGGGCAGCTCCTATAAAGCGTTACTTTGTAACATTGTGCATTTAACACAGCATTACTATCCACAGATCTACAAGGACAGTTCATTTGAATGTCTTTTCTTATTTTATAGCAAAATAATTAAACAGCTCTTGAAGAATTAAAATTGTTATTTCACACTGTTGTGCCATATTGACAACATCTTAGCTTTTTTTTGCAACCCATTTACTGTTACCCTGTAGCTACGCAGAAGCTCTGACATGAAAAAGACAAGGAACAAACATAAGTCTAATTTCCAAGTTATGTTTAGCAGTGGGTACTCTTGTCACTTTTTCATAATTTCAGTGTTGGATCTAAAAGTGTATCATTATATAATAAGCCCCCCTGCTACTGTCCTCACAATAAACTTTGCCCAACCCATGGGCGGTAACCCTTAGTGAAGCAGGTTACACCAGGTAACTGAATGAGATCGCTTGAGTTTATCATTGACATCTGAGCTGGATTCCTAGGCCACCATGCACTCAGGAGTTATGAGCGAGCTTGTGGGTTGAACGCCCTGCCTCGCCCACTACCTTTTCAATGTCTTTGTGTCTGCGCTTCAGAACCACTTCCTGGTTAACTTCAAGTGCGAGCTGTCAGGCCAAGACCCGTGTTAACAACTTCAGTTTTATCAAAAACTTGCCCTCTTCCTGCTTTACTCCAATCAGGTTTCCTCTCACTGTTAGCAGCAGTGAGTCATGGTTCTATGGGCATTGCTCAAAAGCTACTTTTCCAAGGAACTGCAGCTCCTCCCATTCTCATTATATTTTAATATCATCTACTCTAGTTCTAACTAGAATAAAATCCCCTGTTGCCTGGTTAGGTTGGCTTGTCTGATTAAGGAGAAAAGATGCGTATATGTCAAACAAAACAAGCCAAAATTTGAATCTGTTACCCAGAATCCAGAACTGATAATCTGTTATTGGTATTACAGTTATAATATAAACAGCTGTGGTGGTTGTAACATAAGAATTATTTTCACAGCAAGCGAGCTACTGAATACATAAAGGTTGTACTTGAATAAGGCTTGTAGTAATGTGATAGATTGATTATGTGTGATAAAATTAACTTCTCTCTACATCAGTGCTAAAAAGTGTCCCCATCTGTGGTACATTAACATTTATGGTTTACAGGGATCAATGATTCAGTAGGGTTTTTTTATTGCCCCTTTTGAAAGTTGTGATTTTGAATTGTACTTTACTTTTAGGACCCAATTAATCTTTGCCTGTCAAAGTGTTAAGAAACAACTGAAATGGGGTTTTTAGAAGGGTCAAACCAAAAGACTCCTCGTCTTGGGGATACAGTCCAGGACATACCAGAGCAGCTGGGTTTTTTTAAATTATCTTATATTTCTCTCAAAGTTGTGTTTTAAACTCAGGTTTGGTGAAGCCTTTTGAAAGTGACAGCATTGCTCTTGCAACTGCTCTCTTGTCAGGATAAGAAGCCTAGGTTTCACAGGGTTAACGTTTTGTTCCCTCAGATTTATGGAATGGCTGGTATGTGTCAAAGACAGATAGTTGGAAAGTGAAAATTCAGCAGCCTCTTTATAGTTGATATGTGTCAGTTAAAATAAAGTTGCTTTTACTAACTGCAACAACTGCCTGATGGGTTTGTCTGTGAATGACAAACAAAAGGGTGTGACTAACTTGGCACGGACACAAAGAACACACACACAGAGTAATCTTAACTGAAAAAAACAGAAAGAAAAATCGTTGCGGGTTGTTTCACCCCCAGAGCATGATTTCAATATCTGCTCTTGTTGTGTGTACATTCAATGGACAGAGTAAGAGAACGCTAGGGATGAAGCGGAGGTGATGAGGGTAGTGGGGGTATCCGAGGATCCTGGGCTAACACAGCAGTTTGACTTGCAAAGCAGCGGTCGGTGCTCACGGTCTGGACACAGCGAAGGCACTTCCTTGGAAGTGGAACGTCAGTGACACGGACTGTGCCGCTTTGTGCTGGGCTGTGGGCCTCATCACCCACAGACATGAATTAGTGATAAGGAATGTTTGAAGCCACGAGGAGGTGTCAGGATCAGGTTTGTGGCCCTGTTTCTTCTTTCTTAGTACTCTTTGCAGGTTATTCGGGGACAGGTGGCTCCAACTGTCCCTTCAAGTGTTGTTGGCAGTGAACCAAGCTTGTGTATTATGAGCATGTTTGTGTGTGTTTTATCTCCTCTCAGCTCAGCTCAGACTTTACCTCACAAAGCCGTGACCCGGAGTTAGTTGTGTTGGTACAGGGGATAATGCAGTACACAGGCTTGCAGCAATGCATGGCATTGTGCAGGTGCTGTGCGTGTGTGTTGCAGGAAAGCAGGTTGGCTCGGGCCTGGATGGGCTCACAGAGATCTATTTCCACCCGTGAAGGACAAGACTTGCAGCCATGTGGTTGCCCTTTTCCTCGCTGTCCCTTCTTTACTGCTCTCCACTGCCTTTCTGCCTCTTGTGTTATATAAGTTTGCTCTCCATGTCTTTATATTATATTTATATAAGGGGTACAATAGAAGGCCTTTTCAGCAGCCCACCTTTCATCAGAGCTATGTGAATGACAATGAAAGGCTTGAGTTTTCTCAAGGAAGGTGTCTGAGTATTTTTTATATGTAAGCGACATTCCGTTATACTTGGCTAAACATTATCAACCAGTTTAAAAGATCACATGATATTACACCAATCTCTTTTGGCCCCCATGGCTAACAGCAGATATTATTTTTCTTTCTTTAAACATTCCAACACTGGTGGGTTGTCAGTTTTCAAGGTGTGGTAACAGATAGGCTTAGTGTTGTAGAACACAAGTGCAGAGACAAGGAGAGGTGAGAACAGGTGAGCTCTACTAGAAGGGAACAGGTAGCCAGGTTAAGCAGGTTTTGAAGATGGGTGTAGTGCACAAACATGCCATGAGGGCTGGATTGAAAGAATCTAATTTAAACACATTTTCTCTTGTGTACAGCAACCCACTACACTATGTGCATCCTAAAACATGTCGTTACCACACAATGAACTCCACCCTTAACCCCACCATTGGTGGGTCTTGACAAATACAGGCTGGACATCCTATTTTTGTTTTTAATTGGCATTGCTACAAACCTTGCATGCATTACTGCTGTTTTAGGGATGCTTCAGTATTTGTTTGAGTGTTTATTAGAAAAATGAGGAAGGTTCATTCTGCTCAAACCCTTCCAACAGTGCAGGCTTCAGTTAATCATTTTAATCTCCCCCCCCACACGTGAGCGAGGGGACAGCCTTTCCTGAAACTTGGCGCACAGAACAGGGTGGGGTAACTAGCTTAGACCGGATTGACAACCTCCCTATTTAATACTGTTCCCTCTCAGCTCGTTGCATGTCCTCTTCCTCCTCCCATGGAGTTTTTCCACAGGGTCTGCGCTGGCAGCCCCCCTCCCTCCCTTCCATGTTTCCTCCACCTACCTCCCTCCCTCCCTGGCTCTTAACGCAGAGTGCACAAGCTGCACAGCCCAGCTCCCAGCATGCACTCTGATCCCCACTGCCCTCTGCCTATCTGTCCTCCACGACCTCTTACTTGGTTTCTTGCACAAGTGCTTGCAAATGTAGCCATTTACCCAGGGAACGAGGCATAGCCACCTGCACACATTCAGTATGTTTTGTACATACTTTTGTACACACATGCACTCACACACTCCATGTATTTTCACAGGTAGAACAGCTAAGGTTTAAAAAATGTATTACAGCACATTATCACGTGGTAATATACTCTGCTGTAAATCAGTAAATACTCTCACGTACTAGTAAATGTACTTTGTAATCAATGGAAAGAAGAAGGAACACAAGGTGCTGCTGATAATCAGTGAAAATAAAAATAAATAAATATGCTAACTATAGAGACAAGACAAATCTTGTCCCCATAGTTTCATTATAGAAATTTGAAAAAACATTTTGAGAATTTTTCTGCATTGTGTTACAGTGTCCACAATGCAGAAAATGCGGCAGATTTGACATGAAGCCATTTAGACGAGGCCCTTGTTTTGTGTTTGTGCTTATTTTTATTTCATAATAAAGGTAATAGTTATTGTGCAAAAATCTTCAAACTGATTTAAAGACACACTTTTGATAACGTTACCGACTGCCACCTTAACCAGTGTAGAGCTCAGTTTAAATAGAAAACATAGTTGTTTTTATTAGTATTAATGCCTGAGTTTAGCTTCATATAATTTACATATCTCACATATTTCGTTGACAACCCACACATCGATTTAGAATTGCTTAACCTGTTTCACAAATATACTGTCGCTACGTAACCTAATGTGACCCAACCTTTTTGGTAGCTTCTACATTGCTTGTTTTCCTTGCTGTGTATTATAATTAGCACCCTGTTCTCGAGCTTTGCAACTTTACTGTTCTAGAGTTGATACCTTTCTTAAAAATGAAATAGAACCAAAAGGCTTTAGTTTGGACAAAGAAACTGTTTTTAGTATGTTTTTGGCCACTCTCATTCTTTCTGTGAGAATTTGTCAATTTAAAAACATTTTTCCAGCGCAAGAAAGATATTTTGGGCTTTTTGTCATCTTCTGTTCATGGGGGGAAAATATATATATACAGTATATAAACAAATATATAAAATATTTGCTTCTTAATCATAAAAAAGCCTGGTCAGAAAGGGCTATAAGCCCCCTGACTTTATCATTTATTGACTGTTTCTGTTTCACTGTTTCTGATCAACATCTTGCACTTTTCAAATTCCTGTGAAATAAAAACACCACACTCCCTTTCTTGCTTTAACTGCTGTGGTAACAGTGGCTTTGTATTCACCTAGAACAGCTTTTTTGTGATGGTGAACTTGAGTTTTTTTTCTTTGAGTGCATATTGAACGCACAACAATGTTGTTGTTCTACTACCCGGTAAAAACATGCAAACCTGGAAGAACGTGTTGTTTTAGATCTGGTAAGCTGGTTTTAGCTCATATGCTAATATAACATCACATCATGAATGGTGGAGAGAGGCGAAGGCTGTCTGCTCAGTGCTTAGTATAGAAACTACACATCTTTTAAATGATTAATTAATTTAATCTGAATAATCACAATGTAGGTGTAGATTAATCACAATCTGACAATTAATTGAGGAAAAAACATTTTTCTGTATAATGCTGGATCAGAAAAACAAATAACAGCAGATAGATGATTGCTTTCATTTCATATCTGTTTTATTTGTGACTTATCAAAATAAAAAATGGATGGATGAAGTAGGAAAATGATGAATTAATGGATATTCAGTGTTTATCATTCTGATTGAAATGCCTTTAAAATTTTGAATCTGATGAATCTTCACAAACTAATGAATGCAATGAATGGGTTAATTATGACAGCTTTAATGGAAACCTTGTTTAATTTATCCTTAATTACATTATCGATCGATAATCTGTCAGAAAATGATTATCTCCTACACCTGTTTATTTAAGGTTTAATTTGAGTAATATTACAATATTAAGGTTTAATCTGAGTAATATTACAACCAACTTTTTTGTAAACAAAGGTTCTTATAATTATATAAAATTTACCTTTTCACCTTTTCACCTTTTGTTCCTGTCACTTTGTCTTCCCCCCAGACAGGTAGACGGACAGACGGCAGGACGGATACACGGGTGGGGGCTGTGCTAGGCGGCTCGGCGGCAGGCTGGTGGAAGATGTCGTCAGGAGCCGGTGGGAGGGGCGGAAGGCAGCTCCGTGGGACAGTAAGCAGTAGAGGTGGAGGAGGGAGAGGAGGAGCAGGGGAAGCAGAGGAAGGCCCTGTGGGGATCCCTTTCCCTGAGCACAGCGCTGACATCCTGGGCAACCTGAACAAGCAGCGGCTCAGTGGCCTGCTGTGTGACGTGCTCTTGGTTACTCAGGACCGTGAGTTTCCGGCACATCGCTCTGTCCTTGCTTCGTGCAGCTCGTACTTCCACAAGCTCTTCACTTCCGGAGCCGCTGCTGACCAACAAAACATCTATAACATCGACTTTGTGGCGGCAGAGGCTCTGGGATCGTTGCTGGACTTTGCCTATACAGCCACGCTGACAGTCAGTCACAGCAGCGTGGCTGACATCCTCGCAGCTGCACGTCTCCTGGAAATCTCACCGGTCCAAGATGTCTGTACACACCTGCTGGACACCAAAGTGCTCTCCCCGCCGGTACAGGACCCTTATTGAACTAGACGTGACACGTGTTATAGTCAATATAATGGTTTCAGATGAGACCTGAACACTAGGGCATGCAAAAGTGATCCTAAATTGGCCACTAAAAGTGTATGGTGGTGTATGTGTTCATCTACCACCTTTCTACCATTCTTTTGCAAGTGATGTAGGGGTGATGGGGTTGAAAATACTAAGAAGTAGATGGTGGGGCAGGATGAGCTGACAGGTGGTAACTCATATTTGTAAGATTTTGTTGTAGAATGCAACATTAAGATTATTCTAAAGCAAGAGTGTAGTTGTTACATCTGTGGATTCTCTATTTGCGTAGGTGGTTATAAATGTTTTGTTTTGATATTTTGGAGATGTAAAAGTGCACAGATTATCTGTTGCAATATCAGTATACAGACGAGTATTACTTTTAGTGCTTATACACATATGGAAATATTTAGTCTTAAAAACAAATGAAATTCAAAGTTTTGACAAAGATACTGAATCATATTTGTATACTAAAAGTACCAGGACCATGGCATTCAACAAAATGCAGTTTATGGATTAGCAAGCTATTGCACGTGTGTGAGTTTTAGTTTGCGGGCCATCATTCCAGATGCACTCGGGTGAGTATACACAAGCCTTGAGTCACACAGACCGCCCTAAGAGTAGTTCAACACTTAGTCATAATGAACTAGTAATGTGTATGGAGGGATAAAAGACCCCTTCAGACTGTTGACCTTGCAGGACTGCAAGGAGTATAACTGTGAAGTACAGTGCTCTGCAGAGGTTTTAGTAAAATACTATAAATTATAAATACTTTCAATTGTTTATTTTTAACAATTTGGAAAGTACAAAGTGAGAAACAAAAGAAAAATGAAATTAAAACAACACTAATGTTCATACCCTTTGCCTTCTAAACAGCCTTCTGACAGATCGTAGTCAGCTGTTTGATCAACTGCTGATACCAAAAGAAGCTAATAAATATTGATTTTACATGTAGGTTAAAAGTCAGTGGTTAACTCACACAGAAGTACTGTTGATAGAGGTACTGTCTGGAGAAGTCTTGCCAGAAATGGTCCTCATTTAGGAGTTGCAACCAAAAAATTCTTTCAAAAGTGTACAAAGCAAAGTTGTTGTTTAAAAGGCAAAGTTTGATCACACCCAATACTGATTTGATTTTATTCTCTTTTGCCTATTCACTGCATTTTGTACTTTGATTACAATTTTAGAAAATGTCAAGTATTGACCACTTTTTTCTCTACAATTTTGCACCACACAGTACTGTATGTGTGCTTTCTATTTTGCGTTGTGCGATCATTTTTATGTTTCATTGTCATGGCCATAAGGCATATCAAAAACCCCCAGGAAGTCATATTGACTTTAATGGTGTCAGTTCAAAGTGAATGAAAATACAGCTGTCGCAACGTAATTGCAGCCAAAGGCCAACAACAAAAATGTTTTTATTTAATGTTGTTTGTAAATTTTTTTGGTTGATTTAAATCTATTTATTAAACCTATAATACAGAAATCAAATATAAGATATGTTTAGCTAAACTAACTATTGACTGCACTGCACCTATTCTCTTTTCTCTCTAGGAGAGTTCTGAATCAATACATTGCTAAAATGATTAGCTTCATTCTAGTAGAAATAACTACAGGTACATGTAGATGAATGATAACACAGTGTTGATGGTGTGATGGTATAAGTACCATGATGAAAAAACACAAGCAGGCGAGGTGCAGAAAAATGGTAATGATAAGTAAAGATAGTGTCGAAGGGCCTGAGGAACAGGAAGAGACAGTCGATGTTATCTTGCAGGCCAGATTAAACCACTTTCAAATAGCCAGACAAATGATGCCCCCAGGTCTAAACTTGAACAACTGCCTACCTTAATCGCCCCTCATGAACATGAATGTTTGTCAGCTTTTCTACTGATACTTCTTTTATAGTATACTTCTGTATTCCTCACTAACTTTTTCTATTTGTCACTATGTGTCACAAGGCGGGCAATGAGCAAAGAGATGAAGATGAAGAAAAGGATGGAAAGGGCAGCGGCAAGGAGCGGGGGAATCGGATGCGAGCGCGAGAATACCTGGAGTACTTTCAGAGAGGGGCACATTGGAGCAGCAGCTGCAGCACGCCAGAGCTCAGGGACCTGCCAACACACCTGCACTTTAACCATGGCAATGGCGCCAGCAATGGGGCTCCTGGTGGCCCTGGTGAGTACTACTCTCCGCTGGCGCTCGCCTTGGCCCAGGTACCAATGCAGGAGCCTGAAGAAGAAGATGAGGATGATGAGGAAGAGGAGGAAGGAGAGGGAGCACAGAGAAATGGAGCCAGTCAGGGGTTACCTTTCTATCCCCCATCCCAAAATGGGCACTTCTACCTCCCCCCTGACTCTAGGTTAGGGCCGGAGACAGAAGTAGGGAACGGGGTTAGAGAAGTGATGACGAGGGAGAGAGGCTCAGCTAGTGCTCTCCTCCAGCAGATGATGGACTCCATTGAGAGGCAAAAGGAGCGTTCAACAACAGAGGAACCAGGAGAAGGGGAGGACCCAGACATGGAATTTTACTTGAATTATTTTAACAGCACGCAGCATGAGGATTCAGCTTCTGCTGCTGTGACACAGGGTGTGCCGCCAATCTGGTTATCAAGAGGCAGTACAGGCCAAGACAAAGTTGGAGCAGAGAGAGGCAGCAGTGGAGGTGGAGGAGAGAGAAAGATGCGCTCAAAGGCCTTCCAGAAGTGCCCGATATGCTCCAAGGTTATTCAGGGAGCAGGCAAGCTGCCCCGCCACATTCGAACGCACACAGGAGAGAAACCCTATGAATGCGCAATCTGCAAAGTGCGCTTTACCAGGTAAGAACTGTGACTTTACCATGACACTTGTAATACCAGTTTTGAACATGGCAACCACCACATACAGTAGATGAGAGTAGAATCCACCACAGTACATGAACATGAACGTTCACCTTAACGTAGTGTATTTGAGACCCCACATTTTGTTTTTTTAATGTCACATTCTTGCTGAACCAAAATGGCTTAAAGACAGTTCTGTGAAAGAATGGCTCGTGGGTTATAAAGATCTGTTTTATTATACGGCCACCATAGCAAAGTCCTGAAATGTTTGCACTGGGGTTTCATAAAAGAAGGCTGAGGCTTGGCAGCGTTATCTAATGGAGGGCTGCTATAAAGTGATGTGGTCTGATACAGAGGGGGATCACAGGCACTGAACAGTGCTCTATGTACTTAAAGCACTAATTTGAACTTTTGATCTTTAGTTTTGTTGATTATTGGCCACAGCAGGGTAGTCACACTCACATTACCACCTGCTCTTGTTCTGTCTTTCAGTTTAATGTCCCTTTTTCTCTTTGTAATAAAAAACTACCATGTATCATTTAAATAAACTTGGCAATTCTAATTATAACTAGATTTCATTTCCCACCAGGATTTCACGTCTTCTTGAAGTCCTGTCTTTAATTTCTATCTATAAATTGATTTGTTTTGCTGGAAATAAATGCTTGTAGGGCAGGTAGGAAAGACCAGTCAGAAATTACCCTCTCACTAAAGTGGACCAGCAGTGGGAAGAGGGTATTGTAATCTTAATCCTGTTTGATCAGGGTTAAGAGTGTGCCTTGCATGGTAATAAATCACTCCTGCCCTTAAATAATTCACCTCTGTCAGTGTGCCACTTTGTTCCAAGGGTTCAGCCAGTGAATGTGTGCGTGTTGGTGTGTGTTCTCCACCCCCGGCCTACTTTTTAAATTTTTTTTTTTAATAAGGTCTATATTCTGAGGCAGCGGGTACAGAACTGCAGGTATTCTAGTGGGTTTGCTATCAGGATAGGTAATCTACTTATATGTTAAGTGTATCTGTGTGTTTAAATGTAGCTGTTGTAATAAGGCTTGTTTATCTAGAAGCCCTCTGCCCTGGATGTAGAAGAATTAGACGGTTTAAGAGCTGGGAATCTAGGCAGATAAAAAGGGCTAAAGGGGGAGGGATGGTAGTCAGATAAAGCCCAAGGCCTGATAAAGTAGAGCTGTCCAAAAACAATGTTGAATCTATGGATGTACAGAACAATAAAAAAAAAAAAGACAACTGGAAAGTGCGAGATTCACATAGGGGTTAAAAAAACATACATGACTGACTAATTTTGTGTTTTTCATAATTTCTTTTTTATTTCAGGCAGGACAAGCTGAAGGTTCACATGCGGAAGCATACAGGGGAGAAGCCTTACCTGTGTACGCAGTGTGGAGCTGCCTTTGCGCACAACTATGACCTGAAGAACCACATGCGCGTACACACAGGCCTGCGCCCCTATCAGTGCTCAAGCTGCTTTAAGACTTTTGTGCGCTCTGATCACCTGCATCGCCACCTCAAAAAGGACGGTTGCAACGGCATCCCATCCCGCCGTGGTCGGAAGCCTCGGGTGAGGGAGCCTGGTCTCCTGGAGGCCCCTCTGGGCCTGTTGAGTCCTGGCTCTGACACGGGCCTTATGCCTCGAAGCATCAGGGGACAGCGGCGTTCTGAGTCAACCTCAGCAGGGGAGGTGGAGGAGCATGCTGGAGCTCATGCACTTAGTCCTCAGATGCAGGAGTTGGCAGAGGAGGCAGGGCCCTGAGACTGCAGGGGCTACAAAGACACTGCTGGATACCACAGTCACTCTGCACTGCCTGTGAGACAGGCCAGTCAACAGGGGGAAAAGAAAACATGCAAAGGCAAACTTAAGAAAAAGAAACGAAAAAACAACTAACTATTCCTCTATAAACCAAATCAGGGTGTCACAAAAATCTAATCTTTTATTACCTTTTCTTTTACTTAAGAAAACAGTAGACTTACATACAGTTGAGTAGGTTTATCTGTTAAAGAGCAAAGGACGCTTCAAATCATGCACCTGTGATGTCCACTTTCTGGGCCATTTCTTTCTTTATATTTGGGGTTTTATACATTGGCAGATGTGCTTTAGCAAATGTATAATAGATAGAAACAAACTCTGAGCAACTATGCAGTTGATTTAGATTTTTATCGGTTTGTCCTCACAGCCTTCAAGCTCTGAGCAAGGTGTTTGTCAAGTACCTGCTGGCTGCTGTACGGGTGAAGCGAGGACAAATCCTCACAGTAAAAACAAGTCTTTCTATTCTTTTACAGCTCTGAAATGTACAGTTACCATAGAAACAACATTGCCACACTGTGGCATATGCAAGGAAACTAACCACAGATTTGATGCAACAGTTCTCTTTTACTTTAAATGTTCCAGAAAGAATCAGACAAGGGTTTGATTGAAGTGTTACTTACTCTGTAAAATGAATAAGAATTTATGCTTTGTCTTATTGTAAAACAAAGTCTTGTTGAGTCGAATCCACTTTAATGGGGGCTCGTCAACTGCAGAAGGGGAGAAAAGGAGAGGTGGGGTTTTTTAAAGCACTACCTTGGTCAATGTGTGTTCTGGCCTGAGTACAGAGCCTCTTATTCCTCACAGTTCTGCAATTTCAGCATTTCTGTTTTCCATTTGATTTTTGTCTTATGTATTTGTTGTTGTCATTTTTTGTTTTTGTTTTTTTGTTGTTTTTGTTGACTGCTTCAGGTACTTGACACTTTATAATTGTATACTTGTACATACAGCAGGTGATTATATGACGATGATTCCCTCCTAATGCTGAGGTGTGCTTACCAATCGGGTTTTTCCTGTTCAGCTTGATGTCATATTTCTCACAGAGTGAAGCTTGTGGGTGAATGAGAAAAATCTTAATTGTATGAAAGTTTGATAAAACAAAAAAAACACTTAGAGACCCATTTGTCCTAAACTTAACACTTGATATGTACAGCTCCTGCCCAAAGGTTGTTGAGGTGAATTTAATGAATGTGCTTAACTTTGTGCAGTTTTTGGGATTCTGTCTTTGTGTGACAAGGCATGGGTAGCATTTAACTAACGGCAGATCTAAAGAATGGCAGGTAGCCTTGGGAGAGAGAGTGACGAGAGAATAACAGATAGAGATAGTTGAGCACCTTTTTTTCTGTTTGCACAGCTTTACTAAAGACATCCGACACAGCCAGAACCAGGTTTATGTAAAGGACATGGGCTGATGTTGGTGAGGGAGAAAGAGAGAGAGAGTGTGTGTGTGTGAGAGAGAGAGAGCAGGTTTATGTGTCGTGCTTATTCCAATCTTTTTGCCCCAGGGACCACACAACCGTGAGGTAACCTGTATGATGAAGAGAGCAATAAATACCTGTCCAAGTTGGGAGGCCAAATAGAAGCACAGCTGCAGCTGGTTGATGGGGGAAGGGGAGGAGGATCTCACAATGTCTGTTGCATTCCAAAAAATAATCTCCCCCAGCTTAGCCACGTTTCTAGGCAAGAGGGGATCAAATGAGGCCTTTTCTCTCCCTCTTTTTCCCTCTATGGTCCACTAATGCCCCCAAACCGGCCTGGAGGGGATAATATTATATTAGAGTCTGGTGTTACTGTGGGTAGAACGCCTGGTGCTGGCAGTTTAGTGTGTGTGAGTGTGTTTACATGTTCGTGTGTGCGTGTGTGGCAGCCAGGGTCCCTCTGGCCACATCATCAGTGTGTGAGTCAGCCCTAGCCTGTTCAAACATGCACCCTGAGCTGCTAGCCCCAATGCACTTTCTCTGTCTCACACACATGCTCACACACACACACACTCACCTAGACCTGGTATCCCGAAAGTAAGTAGAAAAGACCAGAACTCCACACTATTAGACTGAGCCACGTTTAACTGACCTGAAAACATCACGCCTAACTTTTGTCTTTAAAAGTTATAAGGCAGACACATTGTCTTTAAAAA